GAAGAAGCAGATATATACATAAATAGCTGAAGTTATTTTTCTGACGCACTTCACATAAGATATCTTAAAGGATAAAACAGATCTGACAGGAATATTAGTAGTTCAGAGAAATAATGAGAACAGGTTAACCAGGGATAGCTTTAATGCTCAAAGGCCTACCTCAGGAGGGACAGAGGGGGCTTCCTGCTCATGGATGGGTACTTCTGGTTGGTTGATAGGAGCCTCCTGGGTCACAGCAGCCTTCAGCTCTTCTCTCTCCTGCTGAGCCTCATGCAGCATCTGCTCCAATTTGGCTTTCTGCTCTTCAAGCTCCTGGAGCAAAACCACCTGCTGCTGCTTCTCTCTCTCGAGCTCCTCATCCTGAACAGAAAAACAAGTTTAAAAACAGCAATCATGTTACATGTAGGGTAGATCACAAACCAACATGTTCAACCGAGCCCCTAATTACTGACTGAATAACTAATATTAAGTGAGGTTAAATAAACAGATATGATACTTGACAGGCAGTTTGACTGAAAGATGAGAGCCCCCAAAATAAAATCTGTACGTCTTGCACGAGGTCGAGCAGGTACTTCCTTGTATGAAATGTAGAATCAAGAAGATCATCCTTCTCCACAGGAATTCCCAGGCAGCCCAGATTGAGGCTCCTGTGTGTGTCCTATTTATGTGCAACTTTATTTTGATTCAGGGCTCGACATTAAGGACTGCCCGATGGCCCGGGGCCATCTAGTATTTAGCTCGGGCAATGAAGCCTCACCTGCTGGTTGCCCGATCGGGCAATCTATTATGCCAGTATGATGCAGCTCGCGGATCCAGTAATGAGTGACCCGACAGTAAAACTAAACATATCTATAACTAGTTTAGGTAGTTTGATAGGTCATTAAAATAGCTACGTGTGATATTCTAACCTGAAGTGTGTGTTTTGTCCGCTCACCGCTGCATGTGATCATGCAGAGCTGCATGTCGACTCGTCGGCAGCAGCTGATCTCTCTCTCCCGTCAGATTAGACTTCACTCGCGTTTATGTCCATATTGATCAGATCTAGCTAGTTCTAGCTAATGATAGGACTACCTATCGTCTTTTTTTCTTCGGCGTGAGAGGACGCTGGCGTTGACTGTTCGCCGCTTCTCTGTCCGAAAATCTCGTCTTTCTTTGTGTTAATCTAAGAGTTTCTGACCACTTTCTACTGCTATAGATTGCTAACTATTTTGTTGTTTTTTTGTTCTGATCTGGACATATTTGTTACACCCGATTGCCATTTTTGACGGACGCTTTGGTTCTCTACCCTGCTACACCTACCTGCTAACGCTGCTCCATCCATCAAATAACCAGCCCCATTCTTCGTCCTGCCCCTCCCCGTGGGCCCTGACTCTGGTTCTTCTTCCTACCGGCCTCCGGTCCCCCCATCTGCTGTAAAGGACAGCCTGCAACTGACCTCTCATCCTGTCTGACGGCTGCCAACAGCTCCACTTTCAGCGCCGCTGGTCTACAACCATAGCCAGCGCTGTGCTAACGCTAGCATCCTACCGCGGCACTACGATGTTACGATACTCTGTCTCCCAACTTTTTAATCTCAACAACTTTTCTGCGCTTCCTCTAAGCTTGTCTGTCATCAATTGCCTCGGGCTTCTACGCAGACCGAGGTATGTCCATAGAGGTTCCAAACGCAGATTTGTTTACTCCCAGTCCGTAAAATCATCCATAACATCTATCTGGTCGACTAACCGCCATGTCCCACAACTGTCATGTCATCTGAGCGCACTTATTACTCCATATTATACACCCACCACTGGTCCGTTACAATCCCAGCTGTACCGAAAACCTGGAGTGGATTCCACTGCCCTCTTCTCAGAGCTGGTCCAAATTCCTGGAGAGGATCCCACTGCCCTCTGCTCAGAGCTGGCCCAAATACCTGGAGTGGATTCCACCGCCCTTGCGATAAATGTGTCGCAAAAGTAATTTTCACCTGTAGATGTGGGGGAGGAGGGGGGGTTGGAGGCGAAGGGGCNTACCTGCTTATTAAAAGACACCTAAACAATAAGTGTCGCTATGCAACCGGGTGAGGCCACAAAGTATAGCGCAGCATTATGCATTTGTTTACATGCCCACCAGAACCCCGAGGCATTACCAACAGATCAACGCACAATCAACCCAGACAGGACATCTCTTTCTCCACATTAAGAGTTAGACATTAGAATTGACTATTATTGTCTGTCACATATTCTTCTTCTCTGTCACATAAGTGGCGCAACTGAAGCGGTATTGCGCTCAAGGGAAATTATTTTGACCGAAGAGATTTAGATTTGACGGCTAACGGGAACTCCGACGTCACCATTTTGTGTGCTTCGCGGATGCGCTCGGCTCCTCTCGACTGCTGCTCGGGTCTGCTCGGTCAGCTTCCGGATGAGGAAGCATTCATTCGACCAACTTACAGTAGATAACATTACAAACATTTTTAACAGGAGCCATAATAGTGTAAATAATGTTTGTTTTGGCAGTTATAACTGAATGTAATGTTTTCTACTTTTTTACATCTGGGAAGGCATTTGCCTTCATCAGATGGAAAGTGTCTTGACCAACAACTTAAGTATTTCTTATAGCTATGCAGGGCATGCAAGCGAGCAAACAAGAACAAACAAACAAGTGAAATGAAGAATACAATTGAAATTGTACAATATAATATTGTGGTGGTTCATCTTATAATTCAGTCTAGAGAATGCACCAGACATCTACAGTAAGACCTGGAAAAATCTAAATGTTCTAGGGGGAGGCCCCCCAAACCCTTCGTGCCATTTCGTCCGCGCGCATTTTTCAGGGCAATCTCTATTGGGCTCAGGGCCATCTGTAAATTAGCTTAGATCTCCCAAAATCCTCACGCACTGCTGATTACTTTGTTGTTTTTCTTCAGTGTACTAGCTTAAAAACAGGTAACCAAGCCATGGTCTGAAGTTATTGAAAAAGACAACATATTCAAAGCAGAACAAAAAGTCATGCACGAGGAGAGGTGACTGCCACATTGCTGCTTTAGGAGCTGGGCTGATTGAGTAACGAGGAACACCTGGATAAAGGCATTCTGACCTATCAGGAAAATGCATCAAGCCTCTGGGATAACAAATGAAGCTGACTTTAAAAAAACTGTGGAACAGTGAATACAGAAGGACCTTTGACAAAGAGTGTGACACAAAGAAACCTCTCACTTATCAACCTACTTCTTCTTATAATGAATGTCTTTGTTGTCATTTCAAGTGATGAAACAAACCGACAGACAATAAACCACAGAGATTCACCATTTTAGTAAGCTTAAAAGCAAACTGCTTGTTTCCATTGAGAATCTGACCTTCCAGTGTTTGCAATAATACGTTTCACAATGGGATGTGGAGCACAAGCATTTAAAGCTGTCAGCTGATCTGCTCCTATGTATGTATACAGTGTAGGAAAATAGTTCACGCTCAGTATCACATAAATGGCAATAGACACATACCCTTTTCTTTCGTTCTTCTTCAAACTGTTTTATTCTGTTGGCAAGTACATCTGGAAGTTGAGTGTCTGCTGCAGCTGGCGGCTCCGTTGTCTTCAACGCTGGTTGAATAAAATAGAGGAGAACATGAAATGAACTATTATTATGTTATTAAGTTTATCCTTATATGGCAGTTGAAGAGAAGGGGGGTAATTTACTGAGAAGAAAAACAAAATGACCAAGATTAGAGTTGTACATAGATAATTGAAATGTTGAAGAATAAATAAACGGTATTAAAATTGCTTCACTTTGTAAGGTCGGATAGTGTTGTAGTTCCTGATGCACAAAGATATGTCATAGCTTTTGATAATATGGGGAGTCTGGGCTAAAATCACAAGTATTTTCTTGTTGCAAAGTTTGAGTGCAAAGTATATTTGGATTAGGTAGTCCGACTACAAGCATAATATGATGTTTGGTGTAAAAACAGAAGAATAATATAAAAACAGGGTGAAAAAAAGAGTAAAAAAACGAATCTCAATATTCTCAAATATCAAACTTCTATCACAATGATTGTATTATAGTGTGAAGAGTGTGAGCTACCTGGTGGGGAGGGGGCAGGCTCCAGGCTGTGTGTCTCCTCGCTGTTAAGAGAGCCTGTGTCCATGGTGGTGTCCCGCTCTGGGATCTGATCTGTGATGGGGGTCGGTGGTTCGGCTGCAGGAAGATGAGAGTTCTGCTCAGTCCAATGGTTCCTCTGGTTCCTGATACGATCCAAGAGCTTCCTTAACGCCCGTCTAGGAGCAGGCTTGGAGGGCTCCACTGCAACCAAAAAACATGAGTGAAGTTTCGGCTTGGTAAAGACGAGTATCAAGGACAACACGTGATGTGTGTATTGATTTTGTGTATATCCCAAAACCTTTTTTACAAACCTTGCTGAAACCCTTAAAACCTGTGAGTTTAGGTTGTATCTGCTGCCTCTCTTTACCTTGAACGGATGTTTCCTGCTCGGGGTCATATTGTGTGGTTCCTGCTCCTTGTGGGGGGATTTCATCCTGCGTGACGTCCAGCTCCTGGTCCTGGCTCCCTGTGGACAGAGCCGGCAGAGGCTCCGGAACCAGCTGCACCACCAGGTCTCCTTTAAGCCCTGCCATCAGATACAGTCAATCTTTAAGGGAGTTCCAATAAAATGTTAATAGTTAAGCCACATGTTCTGGCTACTTAGAAATTGTGTGCATGGATTCAAGCAGAGCCACAAATGGTCCACAACCTTTAGAAATATGCAATTGACCTTTTATTTGTTCCTTTTTAGGTGTGTTTCATGTAACGGAAAGCAGTGTTGTTAACCAGTATAAATGTTACATGGTTTCCTCTTTTTTATATGTAACCTTCTTTGTCTAACTTTTCAAGCTCTCATACGAGAGTGTGGGATTATTTGAGCAGTGGAAAGACTATCAATGAAGCTTTTGGTGAGTTTTACTTACTCCTCTCTCCTGTGTACATGTCCTCAAAGGCAAACTCCATCTCCCTCTGGTAGTCCTCTGCTGTCTCCTGTCTCTTATAGAGAGGCTGGAAGATCTGAGAAGGCATCTGGAAAACCTGCTGCCTCCTCCTGAGCAGGTCTGTCTGCTGCATGTGCTCCAGTTCAACAAGCAATCGCTCTCGATCCTAAGGGTTGTCACCAAAAACAGATTCGACATTAAAAAAAAGGCCATAATAATTTGTGTTTCTATGACACAAATTTGTAAATTATTCAGAATCAGAATGCCTTATGCCTCCTGCAGTGGGGACATGTACCGTGTTACAAGCAAAAGTGGCAAAGCAGGTAAAAAAATTGATATATATAGTCTTTACATATGAGGACAATCTGTCTACTATGGCTAATGCTGTTGTCCTGCTATCAGTCAACAGTGTTTTCACCACAGTGATGGTAAGTAGCTTTGGAGCATATCATCTGTCAGATACATGTGAACAATGTTGGTGTGTATCTTCTAACAAAGTAAGATGTGAGTTAACCTGCTCCAGATGTTCCCTCCTCAGCGCCTGATTCCCTCTGAGACGAGCCTTCTCCAACTGCTCCTCTCGCCTCCTCATTTCCTCCTTCTTTAAATCCTGCAGCCTCCTCATCTCCAGCTCAGCTCCCTCATGGGCACTGGGCTGATGACACAAGTACAGGTTAGACATCCCAACAGGAGGGGAGAACCAAAGCGGGGTTATGTAAATACAATAATCAGAGATCTTACCTGCTCTGTGTCTGCCTCTCTGTCCACTGTGCTGTCAGGCATATGATAATGTGTGGCTGCAAAAGCACTCACATCAGATTTCTTCACTACATGTGGGTTCTTGAAATCAATGCTCTGCTTGAACAAAAAGACAATGTTACCCTGACTACACTAAAAACCTTTGAAACTTGAAAGGTATGACTTTTATTTTGTAAAAGTTGCAAGGCTGATCAATTCTGTAAAGGATAAAGGCCAGCTTGCAAATCCAGGTGGCTTATCAGGACAACAGGAAAACAGTGTAACGCATATAAGTGGTGGAGAGAAATCACCTGAATTGGGTGTGGGGGGGGCTTAGGGAGACTGGCCACTTTTGCTGATCTTTCCTTTTCTGTCTGTAGTGCCTTCTTCCTGGCCATGGTTGATCTACAGACAAACATATGCATAGACTTGTTGTTCAGTTCATTTTGATCAAATGCATGATAATGTTTTTCGAGCAATTGTTTCTGCTGCTCACCGGCTTTGCCCCTCATGGTCTTTAAGCCTCTGTGTTTTGAGCTCCTTCATGGCTTCCCGGTAACGCTCCTCTGCTTTGACCTTATTTTCCTCCTCCCTCTGAGCTATGGCTTCCAAGTCGGGTTCCTTCAAATAAATTAAAATGACCACAGAAATATTAAATGATTTGGAAAATGTATTAATCTTTATGTGATGGTCTTGTTCACATTTTGGTTTCAGCTGTTCCTCGTCTTGGATTTAATCTCAGGTTCAGAGTCAACAAACTAAACAGAGGTCAGGGACAGCTTCAAAGGGTGTATTGTGTTCAATTCATGGAACAGAAACTCTAGCTAATGAAGACAGGGTAAAGCTTCTTGTAATCTTACATTTTCTTTTGCACTCCTGTGTCCCTGGCCGAGCAGCTGGAGGCTCTCCTGGTATAATGTCTGCAGGGTGTGAAGTTTGTCCCTCTGCTTCCGCTCCCAGTCCTGCCTCAGGTCCTTCTCCAGCTGCTCCAGCTCACGCTGCCGCCTGCGCTCCACCTCTCTGCAGATCTTTAGCGAGATATACCGCTGCTGCTCCCGCACCTGGAGGTCAATGCAAAATATAAATACATACCAACTCTGAGGTTAAAGAACCATTTCATTTATCACCTGTCCCTCAGATTTTTTAATGTTAGTAAGTGACATTTAGGAGAGTACAATACTAAAAAAGTGAATTTGCTATGAAGCCATGGATCAAAGTCCATTATTGGGTTAATTTTTACACACACACACTTGGAGTTGATTACCGTGGATTGCCATTGGACTGAAAATAAAAACTGCAAACTATGCCAAAAAGTAACAAGTACAGTCGTGACTGTAACACTGATCCTGAGCTGAACCCTTAATATACCAGGTCAGACTTCCTTTATGGAATAGAATTTCCAGACTACTCGTCAGTGCAGTCTTTTGTTAATTCAAAATGTAATCTAAATACAACCATTCGTTACTTTTTTGGCTGAAGTTTTAGTAGTTAACTGCATGATATAGGCAAAAAATAAAAAGTTAATAACCTCCTGATTTACGATGCAAATATGAATGAAAATATGGTCAAACTTTACTAGTTAAATTACATGTAATTCAATTAGTTACTCACCAACAATGCATATACACTTTCTTAAATTAATAATTATTTCTGTGCAAAGCAGTTAAAAGCTTAAGTTAATCTTTATCCACCTATGCTCTCCGTGTTTTCAGATGTCTTTGTGCATTGATCGGTGTCTGAGAATCCTTCCACATCACCGCCTTACCTGCTGAATCCGCCGCTTCCTCCTCCTCTCATGCTCCTCTCGTATTATCCGAGCCTCTTCGTTAGGGCTCAGTCTCAGTTTAGCCACTTTCCTCTTCATCTTCTTCAAAATGTACTAAGAGACATTTCCCAGAGAGCTAAAAACAGTTAGCAACTCCGTTAGCCCTGGGAGTTGTTATTGGCTAGTTAGCATGTTGTTGAAGGCATCAACCAACAGCATGATTTATTAGACAGGCGTTTAAGGACTGGTTGAAACATTTGAATTGTTTATGAAAATACCAAAGAAGCTCCGACAGGATACAAAATCCATATCGTACGTTTTGTTTATTACCAGAAAGCCATGCCAACCTTAAAAAGGGAGTTATTGTCCTAAACAACGTCACATCCGGTAGTTTAAACTGCCCGCGTTACCCGTTCCGTGCTGATCAAAATACGTCATGGTTCCTGACCATAGTTCTTGACACCAAATATCGTTCCTACTTCCTACCCTCAATGTTTGCATCTGTAACGATATGGATCATAAAGCACCTAAACTGCTAAATTCTAATAACCGTAAAAACCAGATTCTGAAAAATGGAGAGAGAAAGTTGGACATGTGCTTTGATTAAATATTTAAACAATACAGGATAACAATCTCAGGAATAAAGCACCCTTTTTTCCTTCTTTAATTCGTGCGAATGCTGTGTAGATACAGCATTCCGCTATAGTTCTTCAAATCTTTATTAGTGGAATGCTGTTTACAGTTCTTCGAATCTGTATTCTTATTTTAAAAAAATAGCTTACTTTGCCGTCGAATAACTTCAGCATACTTTCAGCTACAGAAACCATTCAAATATTAAACTATTCAGCCTTTTCAGCAATCGATGAGAAACTTTCAACTTTTTCAAAATATTTCATACTTTTTGAAATATTCAGCTTTTTAAAAACTATTTTTTTAACATGGAAGTCAATGGGAGGAGCCTTCAAATTCCCTTTTACCTTGCGCCAAATGCTTCTCCTTCCACATACTTTCAGCTAGAGACTTCATTCCAACTTTAAAATGATCACAAGACCTTTAAAAAATTAAACAAAATGCCTCTTGAGGGCATGAAGTGACAAGGCCAATTGTAAATGCAACGTCATCTTTCATCACAGCACCAGCTGCACACCTTTAGTTAATCTGCCAAAAATGCCACATTATTGACCCAAAAGCACAAAAAAAGCACACAGACACTCCCCACAGTCCTGAGACGCTACACGCATTGAAGTTTTACCGATATCTGTTACGGTTATTCAACAAACCGTTCACATGTAAGAGCTTTATCTCTCATTTAGATCATTGGAAAAGCTCTCCTCTCACTGATTACTGCACATCACCATGGAAACCTTTGATCTCTGGGCTCAAGCGCAGGTGTTATGATAACGTCGTTAGCTCAAACACAAACACCTGTGTGATGATGTCATAACTCCACTGTGGCCCTGAACAGCTGAGTGACATCATCTAATCAGAGCAGACACACCCACAGACAGACTGGTACACACACACACAAACAATGGATATATATAACCTACTACATATGTTCACACACACACAGACAGTGAGACAGGGACACAGGGACTAGTGATGGGATAATGATACCTCAAGGAGTGTATTGACACACTATACAAACTGTGTCGGCACTGTATTGATACTGCGCCGGTCACCCAATAGTGCCCCCTGCAGTTGTTAGAAAATCATTGCAGGTAAAGAAATTCCTTGTTTGTGTAAATGCTAAACTGAGTTGGTATGTAAAATTTAGCAAATTTGAGTTACAATTCAGAGTTACAATTTGTGACTTATGTACACAATTTTGTTAACTTAACTGTTCAATCATATGAAATAAAATACTTGAGAAAAGAAGTGATTTGTTTATGCATTTTTATTGAGGAG